CTTCATAATCCCCATTTTCTTTTTTACCAGTTTGTTTACCAGTTTTGTTTACAAAACAAAACAACCCATACTAAACTGTGGGGCTATGGCGGGAACTTGACAAATCTGAATAACTGGCTTCTTATTTTGGAATGAGTGCTCAGAAGGAAAACAACACAGAAAACCTATCTAACTTTGAAAAAATGACCCAAGCAGAGTTACTCTATCAAGGTTTATCCTATAGCTTTTTGGTTCAGGATACACCCCAAACTTCCCATGCCACTTTTGCTCATCTGAGATGAAAAACACATAAAATTACTGCCACTGTTAATGAATTTTAGTTTGTGAATCGGGTGCAGTATTTTGAGATCCTTAATTTAAAAAATATAGTATAAGTCTGTTAAAGAAGTAAATATTTTATGAATGCATCTTGGAAACAAGTTAAAGACAAAGTAAACATTAGGAGAAGCAGGGCAAATCCTGAGCAACTCAATTCTCATTAGTTTTTTATAAGCATATACAATGTTCAAAAAGATATAAAAATACAAATTTCTAGGTATATAGAATGCTCTCCTGCTTGTTGAGACTGTATTCTGGAAGACAACATGTTTTTATATGCTATCAGAACTGTGAGGCTTGACAATTTTTTTTCATAATTTCTCATATCACGTTAAAAATTAGAACAGGTAACTGTATTCTTGTCAAATAAGAATTCACATTAGGTGTAAACATATGGGCAAAAGCACAGATGATTAAGGGGAGGAACCTGAGGGGGAACAGCAGAGTGCCTGATCAGCTTTCAATGATCAAAATTTCTTCCGTAATAAAGAATATTTATACTCCCTCAAAGCAGTATCCTGCTTTGCAGTTCAAAAATCCTTGTTGCCATGGGAACTCCCAAAGAAGCCAGTTGTGACATAGCAAGCCTATAACAGAAGCAAATCTACTGTGAAATGACCAACAGTCCAGGGTTTTGTATAAAAAATGCTTGAGTATTTTTAAGCTGAAAACAAAATGCTGCCTCAAATCTTTCTTCCAAATCCTTCTTCCACAAATATCTTGCAAATTTTCACTAAAATACAGACACTGTTTATACAAAACAAGGTAAAATACTATTTCATATCTACTACATCCAGCACAAAAATACCTACTTCCATATGTGTCTTTTGCAGATATATTTGGTACAAAGTATACATTAGTGATTTACATTACTGTACTTGATGTAGAGAGACAAACAGATCTCAAAAAACCAGAACAGACAAAAGACTAAAGCACACACACAAAAAATACTGCATAAGAAACTATAGAAAGGAAGACTTCTAATGCAATTATATAAAACAATATTTCGAGGGTATACATGCAATTTGCCCTTTGTATCTGTTCTCACCAGGTAACAAAAATCAGTGCTTGATTACTAAAATAGAACATCGTGTCTTTTGAGAAGGCTGTTGGCACATCAAAGCAAAGTGAAAAAGCAGTGTCAAACCCAGAGTCATGCAGTTCCCACTTGAACACAAACAGTTTGCAGACGTGTGAATAAAAAATACCCAACAGGCTGATCAAAGGATCCATGTAATAACATGGAATTCCTACTTTCAAACATAACCCTTTCAGTACCCCATTATAATCTTATCGAGACACTAGACTTATTTTCCTGTCAAATATGTGTATAATACAAAATGTCTTGAGTACACCACATGATAAGTACTGCACTGAAATTATGTGACCTTTAGGTCACATATGCTGATTTGTGACAACAAGGAAGCTGGGGAGAGCCCTGAAGAAAACAGTTTTTCAAAACAGTTACCTGCAAAACTGCTTTTATATGTCAAAGCAGTCTCATATATGTTTAGAATACCTTTTAACATTATAACTATTTAAGTATCACATTATGACTAATTTAAAAAGAATCCTAGGGAACTAGGTACACGTCTTATCTGCAGACTGACTCATGGCTCCAGATCGCTTTGCACAACTATTAATTAGGAAATACATTCTTTTTTATCTGTTCTAACACTTGCTTATCGGACAGCATATTATACAGAACATATTATCACTGAAACCAATTAGTTTGGATTGCCTTCATTTCACCCCCCTCCCTGGAGGGCAGGTAAGAGCAGCTATCTCCATTTTGGCCATGCCCACTCTCCTTTTTGACCTAGCCTGCACACTCTGGCACAGAACTGTACAGGTCTTGCCAAATGCTTGGACTAATCATCAAGAAACTGAGGCTACTGAGAGTAATGGAAGGCATTCCCAATGGAGAGGGTAGTTGCCTGGGAAATGGGAAAAGCAACAGGCTTTTCTTTTTTACCTGTCAAAGCCATAGAGCAAACAGGATGCAGGAGAGGGAAAGCAGTGATACCTGAATCTTTATTAAGGTCTGTCTGAAAAAGTATTTAAACCGGACTCAAGAAGTCAAGCAATCTACAACAAAGTGAACCAGTTCAGTGAGAAAACTTTTAAAAGATAAAATTTTACTTTCAGAATACTGTGGCATATTCTCTCTTGAGAATACCTTGTCAGTATTTCTCCTGTGGGTCTAACTTAGAGTACATGAACAGCTGTAAACCCTTTCCAATGGCTCACCACGCAAGTTGCTTGGGGCCTTTACAGCATTCAAACCTTCTTATTCTCTGGCTCAACATTTCTCTAAATTAGTGTGCTGGGTTTGGCTTGGAGAGAGTTAGATTTCTTCATAGCACGACCATACTACGACACAAAACCTAAAATGTTGGACACAGTGGTGGTGATTCCAGGATGTTTTTTGTCATTGCTGAGCAGTGCTCACATACAGTCAAAGCCTTTCCAGCACCTCACACGGCCCCACCAGTGAGGAGAATGGGGATGCACAAGGAGCTGGGAGGGGACACAGCCAGGACAGCTGTCCCCAGCTGACCACAGGGATATCCCACCCCATGTGGTGCCATGCTCAGCATACAAACCTGGGGGAAGAAGGGGGAAGGGGAAATGTTTGGAGTGACAGTGTTTGTCTTCCCAAGTCACCGTTACGTGTGACAGCCCTGGCTGTCCTGTGGATGGCTGAACATGGGAACTGCTGGATGGATGCCTTGTTTGGCTTTGCTTTGCTTGTGTGCACAGCTTTCCCTTTATCTACTGAACTGCCTTTACCTCAACCCACAGGTTTCCCCGCTTTTACCCTTCTGATTGTCTCCCCATCCCGCTGCTGGAGTGAGCAAACAGCTGTGCAGCATTCAGCTGCCAGCTGGGGTTAAACCAAAACCATCAGTCACCAGCAAACACCTGCAGAAGATTGCCCTATAGAAAGTCAACCAAACCCCAGCTCAGCCCCATTCACCCTCCTTCACTTTGAATAAATAGACTGATGTAGTACATCCGTGCAGCAACATCTGTCTGTGGTTAAAGCAAGCTGTGCTACCAGTGTGACAAGTGCCAAACAAGGCTGTCTGCTGATCTGTAGCATCTCTACAAGGCCATTTGTTTCCAAAATACAACAATTTACAATAGTGAATGTGTGTTGTAACACACATTACAACCTCCTGCAGTTGCTTATTGCTTATTCCCTCCACAGTCGTTACGACGCAATCACGGAGGCAGGAAATAATTTCAAATTGTCATTAGAACCACCTCACAGAAACAAAAATCTCAACACTAGACACAAGACCTATCACAATGATAAATTCACAGCAAGGTAACAGTGCATGCTGCAAACACTTTTTGGACTATTACACAAGTAAGGGTCCCCACAGAGTGAAGAAAGCAGTCTACATTCAAGTACTTTATATTCCATATATACTACTTAACTCAAAATACAAACAGATTTCCCAAGGTTCAACCAAAATTCCATCACACATTGCAGAAAGCTCTATTTATTTCATAGTAAAAGTTAAATAGACCTAAAAAACTTTATGATGTGTAAGAAGACTTTAAAATACAGCATGCTTGGCCACAAACTATCCACATTTTCTCATTTTGCTGCACTTAACTGCATTTTCTAAAATAAATTATGATGAGATTTTTAGTGACTAGTGAGGGATGTTGCTGAGCTAACCTGAACTACTGTTCAAACAATAAACATGAAAATAACATCTTGAAACAACAGCCACAGATAAGAACAGGCACACAAAAAGGGCAGACCTTTCCTTGTACTCGATTTTTAAAACCTGTATTTTACAGATTACTTTAGCCTGCTTTGCTCTGACAAGATTAAAAAGCATATAAGTTGTTCTGGAATCACCCTAAGGTCACTCCAGCACCTTTGCCCTTGGGTGTTTATTTACGTTGCCACTTTTCAGGGTAAATATACTGAAATTTACAAAACCCTTAGAGCTTTGTTTTTTTTCTACAGACACTATGCAAAAATCCATTCTCCAATTTGCCCACTGATAAAGTAAGGGTGACTAATGTGGACGTGGAATCTTTTGTGGCAGACTTTTGTTAGCAATCTTTCCTCAGTAAAACATACCCTCATCCAGAACACTGCAATATATGGTCGGTATAATTACCCATTAAGTGCGAAAGAACATGGGAAACTGAGCATGTTTTGCAGCCTGAAGCAATCTGTTCATTATTTAGCTCTACTAGCCTGGGTCAGCCACTGCCTCTCACAACTGTTTGTCTTCTTGTCTACCGAGACCAGAAGATGTTTTAGACAAAGAACGAACTGGAGGTATATCACTGCTCCTGAGTTTGCTGTGCTGAGCGGATAGAGAACATAGTTCCTCACACAGGACTAGCACATTCTTGCAGCACCACAGGATCTATCCAGAACCACAGACTGCACAGAAATCCCCGGAGCCGTCTCCCATTTGTTCCGCTCTGCCGGGGCGGGCGCAGCTCGGTCCGAGCGCTCCGCGCAGCCAGGCCAGGCCAGGCCAGGCCCCCGGCGCAGCGAGGCCCAGCGGGGCAGCCCACACACACCGCGGGGCTCCGAGCCGACGGGCGCAGCTGGGAATGGAAGTGCTGGGCCAGCGGCAGCACCGAGGGACGGCCAAAACCCAAGGAGCCCTAAAGGGGTGCCGCAGGCCACCTCACCTCACCTCGCATCCCTTTACGCCTCAGGTGCCCCAAACGCCAGGAGAGACAGGCGGTCTTACAGGCGAGGATCCAGAGGGTCTCCGCTGTGGGGACAGCCGCTCTCTCTGGGTGACTCCCACACGCACACAGATGCCAGCGCGGTTCGTTCTCCTCACCCAGCTCTCCCAGCTCCTGGGCTGGCAGCGGGCGCGCCGCGCTCCCCGCCGCCTCTGCGCTTGCAGGCACGCACTGCGCTTGCGGCTCCTCACCTGAGCCACGGTATTCCAGCGCTGCCTGGCGCCTCCCCGGTTCGCCAGCCGGGCCCGCGCCGGCAGCGGCCCCCGCCAGGCACGCCGGGCCCCCGCCCTCCATCGCCGGCAGAGAGCGCGGCCAGCGGCGCTCCGCGGCTCCGGGCGGGCTGACCCCCCGCAGCTCCCCCGCGCTGCCGAGCCGGGCCGGGCCGGGCCGGGCGGGGCCGGGGCAGCTCCGAGCCGCGCACAGCCCGCAGGGACGCTGCGGGGACGCGCGTGGGCATCACCCGTGTCCCGTGTGTCTGTCGCAGGTGTTTCCAGTACAGCTACAGATCTGTTTACAAAACAAACTACAAAGAGAGGGGCACCCAAGTAAAAAAAAAAAAAAAAAAATAAAAAAAAAAGAAAAAGTACCCACAGCTGCTTGTTGTTTGAGGCATTTAATAATTTCTTTGTGCTGGTCTTCTGATAAGCACAAACCCCTCTCAGACACATACTGATTATTTTCAGTCTAAGTCAGACGAATAGATTATTTATGTACCTGCAATTTTTTCAAGACCATTCCCTCCCCAAAAACAACCACCAACATGAAATTTGTCCTTTAATTACACATTTTGGATTTTGGATGTTTTGGATTTTGGGTTCTCTCATCTCTCCCTATCTTACACCCTGCCCTGACAATTGTTTTTTTACAGCTGAGGTGAAAAATGTTAACTGAAACACTGCAGCCTAAGTGCTCACTACACGAGAGTAGCAATACTCATTTTTAGAGTGAACAACCTCAACAGACCATCAGTAGTTGAAAATTGTGGAGACAAGGGAGAAAAGGCATGCACCATCCTACTGCTCCGTTTGTGTTTCTCCTGGGGTGCACACCCAAAGCTCAGAGTTCCACATCACACAGATTCCTGGGTACATCTGGTTTTCCCAATACTCTTCAGAGGATCTCATGTAGAGTGCATATCTGCACATCTATGATGATTATTAGTGTTTGTGCTTTTAATTTGTTCACTTGTTGTAACCTTCATGGCATTACTTTAAATTTAGGACAGAGAAATGTTCTTCTTAGAAATAGCACTCAAATATGATTGCTACCTAAAAATTTGGCTCTCATGTCTTATCATAAAATAATAAATTATACTTAGAAAATAAAGATGTAAATATCTTTTTCTTTATAACACAAAGATAATTCTTCACTTCACATATAAAATATAATTGAAATGATACATACATTGCAGCCTTGGTAGCTGGAGACTTTCTTTAATATCTGATTTTTAGTTGTCTCAGAACACTGATATGAAAAAGGGATTGAAGCATCATGAGCTCTTAGATGTTATCCTGGGATCCTGAATAGGATTAATAACCTCAAGAGTGTAAGTTCAAATGATGTTTAAGGTCCTTCAGAAAGCATACAGCTTCAATTTTTCTTTACTTTTCACAAATCGATTTCTAACATTTTATATATATTCATATTTTACTTTCATAGCACCTCTTGATATCCATTAGTTTTTAACGGGAAAATAAAAAATGCAGACAAAACCATTAAATACAATAAAAAATGAAGTCTTTATTCTTTTGGCTCAACTGTAATGTGGTTTACTGTTCTTTATGGTAATAGCATTTTCCTGCATGCAGTTCACCGACACACAAGTCAATATTTTTGTAAAAGGAGGAGTCAACATCGAATTTTTGCTTGTGTAAGAAACACAAAATGTCCTGATGTGATCAATTATACAAGTTTGCTATTTAATTCCTGTGGAAAAAAAACATTGTGGATCCCATATTATATTTAGAACAGTTCTAGTGCAGCATGAATCAACAAGAATAAGAATAGTCTATGTAAACAAACACTGGTAAAGATTTCATGAATAAAAATACTACCTTGAAACTTCTGATGCAGGCAGTGCTAGAATCTTAAACAAATCCTCCCCACCACATTTCAATTACAAGTTATATCTATTTGGAAGCAAGTGCATTTTGGACTCAGTTTGAAACTTATTTCACATTAAAATGTGTGCAAAAATACAGTACTAATAAAAAAGCAGAAACCTAAAGCTACCCCATTCTTTCCTTTGTTTCTTATATTGTGAAGTTCTTGAATTAAAAAGTGCTATGGATAGAAAGTAATAAAAGTGACAGTAACATCAACCTGAAGATAATTCTCATTTCTTATTTTATGTACAAAATGCTGAAAAATAAAATAAAATGGTATTTTTTACAGTATTTATATTTTCTTAGAAAATTCTATCCATGTAGTTTTCAACAGATTAAGCAGTTTGCAACATAGCCTGTACAGTCTGACTATGCACCGTACAGTAGTCACTTAAAATTTTAGAATGCAAAGCAAGAAGCTCTTAAATAACTGCAAACTATTGCTTGATGTCGTGAAAGAATGATGACCAATTGAACAATTTATTTCACTTAACCACTGAGCTATGGCTTCCCATATTAGACTCTTAACAGTGGAAGGAGTAAAATTACAGCAGCAAAGGCAAGATAAACATGCATCAGTGATAGCTTCCAAACTGTCTATAATGGTACAGAATACTTCATATTAGCTGTTGAGAGATTGCAAATTACACTTACTGTGGTACATATTTGATGCAATAAATATTGTGCACATGTCATTATTTGTTTGCTCAAACATGCACCACGGGATAAAATAACTATTTACATAGAGGGTACTTTTTTAATCAACACATACAATGTCAACCTTGCTGAGAGCAGAAGATGGCTAAATGATACTGCAGGGTGAAGCAGAACAACTTCATAATCCTTGTGTTTTGCAGGTTTTTGGTAAATTCAATTTCCCAAGGTCAGGTAAACTGTTTTCTGCAGAAGAATACTTAGAAGTAGACTCTATGTCCCTCAGTAAAATTTTTATACAGAGATTGTTCAACTACTGTTAAATGACTCATGAAAAAATAAAACATCTGTTCTATTATTGTAGACTCTATGGGACTTTACAGGCACATTAAGATTTGTCTGGATGAGATACTAGATGGATACTGTTATTAAGCACCTCAACATACAGAGCCACCCTGAAACATGGAAGTAGTCAGACTGCTGCTTTGTGCGACATCATGTTTTCCCATGCATGAACTACAAGTGCAGCATGCCTTCATGCAAATCACTTCTGTTTGTACATTATAGAGAATCCGAGAGCAGAACACCTGGTCCTCATACCCCCTTCCCCAACATAAAACCCATTTACAAAAATAGTCACATATAATAGTAAACAACCTGTGAATTAAAAAATGATAAGTTCACCAACACTGATTTTTGTAAAAATATGGCAAATGTGACTGTTGAAATGCTAACAGTGGATACAATTTTTGTACTGTGTGTTTCATGTTAAACACAGAGATTCATAGGTTTGCACCTTTTTTTTTTTAACTGGTCCCTACAGTCTGGTTGGCCATTTTATCATCTCTTCAGCAGTGTCAGCTGGTACTAAAAACAACAACCTCCTGTCAAGATGTTACCCTGTTTTACAGAGTTGCAGTTTGATGACAAGGGGTCACTGTCTTGCTATAGGCACTGACCTTATATATATATATAATTATATATATATATCTATATATGTAAAAACTGACAGTTTGGCATGTACCTCCTACAGGAGTCCTGTTGACACAAATACATACTTTTTCAGGCTGTAAACAGTTTATTACAAACAGCGTTCTATGTTACTTTTTACTTTCCCTGCTGTCTTTACCTTTATCTTCTTTTTCTGACTTGTCTTTTTCATATTTATCCTTGTCTGGCTTTGTTACACTGTCATAAGAAGGTGGGGAGGTTGTGGATGGGGTCATATCTGTTTTTTCTGGAGTGGAGTTCTCATTTAGTTTATCCATAATCATATCTTCTTTCATGGGCAGATCATCTTCCTCTTTACCTTTATCCTGACTAAATATACATGATACTTTTTTGACTTTTTGCCTTAAAAGGTGACGTCTGTAAGCACGCTGAATGATGACAGCAGACACCTCCTCCTGCTTTCGCTTTAAGTTAAATCAGTAAAGAGTATTATTACATTTTAAAACCACTGCTAAAGATATATTCTACAAGGACCATAGAACTTTAAGAAGAGTAGGATAAACAGATTTTTATAAATTAGCCATTTAGTTTTTTTACAAAATCTTTGTGTTTGGTATATGTTTTTGGGATAAACTGATAACTAGTGTATGTATATTGGTAAATGCTGCAATTAGAGGAATACCCTTTTGTTTAATGGTAACAAAAATAATCTCTGTTAATCTGAAGGAAGATCATATGCACATTAGTATTAAAATTCCATGTAATCAAATTAGGTTATTCAAAAAAATATATATATTTTAAGAGAAGCGTGACTTCTTAATCATATATAAAATAACATGAACACAGGTTTATCACTAATGACATAGAAATTCCAAACATAAAAAAATTGATAAAAAGGTTTATTATAATTCCCAGAAGAATAAAAGACTTGAGCATTGCATTATGTGCCTCAAAGCAGAACAGTAACTTTTTTGATACAAAAATAGCAAAATTGATTTGCATATTAAGGAGTACTTAAAAGTTAAAAATCCACAATTTTTACTCAATTTCTTTCAGGTTTGCTGCTCTAGATAAAGCAAAATTAGTGTAGTCATTATTTGTTACCACATCTGCTTCAGCTCTGCTTCTGCAGTGCTCACTCTAGCTCAGGCACAAAGCCTCTCAGGATCAAACAAAACTGAAGTAAGCAAAGGGTTTTGCCCTGCTCTCTGGGGTGCACACATCCTACCCTCATAACAGTCCCACACAAATTTTTCTCTTGGATTTTTGATGATTGGACTCTTTCACCTGAAACTGTCACTGTAAGTTTATATCAAAACTGCCTTTCATGTATGTGTAGGAATCTCTACTGATTTC